CAACTTTAAGCCTGGAGGACTTCAACTCCCAGAATTCCCCAGCCAGCAAAGCTGGCTGGGGAATTCTGGGAGTTGAAGTCCTCCAGGCTTAAAGTTGCCAAGGTTGGACACCCCTAGTCTAACTCATCACAGAGCAGTAGCAAATCTCTTACTTTATCTTTACAAGATCAGAAATACAGGTTTCTTATCATATACTAGGTCCCTTAGTGACCAAACTGAATTATATACAATTATATTCTGACCGCATCTATCCAGCTACTGCTTATGGCAACTCCCACAAAAAGAATGTGGAGTTATGCAAAAGCAAAGCTTGATTTTGTAACATCCCATTCATTTTACACTCTACATTAGTTCTTTATAGCATATGCCCTTTCCCGCCCATTTTCCTGTCCCCTTTACTCCACGATAAATCCAAATAAAGGATATTCTGATATTTTATTCTCCTCAAAAATGTGTCAACTATGTCGGCCTAGATGTATTACATTTTGAAATGAATTATATTTTGCTATTGTTAAACATTGCTAAAAGCTGACAAATCTTTCTGATCATTTTCCCCTCAGTCAGAAAATTAAAGTCAAATAAATATTGCAGGATGTTTCTGCTGAACTGAACTTTAATCCACAAAAACATCTGTTAATAGAGATGTTTAAGACCTCACAAGATTGTTGTTTTTGCTGCAACTAATTCAGCTACTCTTATACAAAAGTTGTTAAAATAACAATCTACTATTTACATTACAATGTAAATAGTCTACATTAGAGATTACATGAATCAAAGTAATCTACATATTGCAAAAGACCAAGGTAAATGAACAATTCTCACCTAAGTATGAGGCCAGCATTTGCAATCAACATCTTTTAATATTCAATCTTCCCAATACTATCTCTGTTCTGCCATCTGGTGTTGATTTGAGAGAACAGCACCACATTTTAAAACGTTTAAACAGAAAGCAAACACTTCAAAAGTCCTTTTTTAAAAAGCTTTGGAACCCATCCACTTTGTATATAATAAAATAAATATGAAGACTCTACCTGAGCTATAACAAGTAACAATGGTTTTAGCCCACATATACTACACATACATTCATTTTACTCTGCAAATGAAGTTGTGACTTTAAAATTAACACTAGGACAAAATTTACATGTCAACATGATTTCACACACTAATAGCTAACTGATATTAGCTAACTACTAAGTGCAGTTTTGGCTTCAAATAATACTGAAGGAAAAGTATCCAATATAATTACAGCCACACAGGAAGGAAGTAAAAGTACATTCATACATTAAGTCATCCTAGTAATTACACTGAAACCATACATAGCCATGTTGTATTACTTTATGCATTTTGCTATATTTGGGTTTGAATTATGATTTTTGGATTTTATTGCTGTTCATCTGATAATAGCAACCCACATCTGGCTTTTTAACTATTCCGTAGACCAAAATGTGGGAGAACTTCCATCAGATTGTTTTCCACAAACTTCAGGAAAGGGAAAATAGAAATTCAGTTAAGACCATGAATTGAGCAAGAGAATACATTCTCATGTGCATTGGAAAGAAGACACTGGAGATCCAATCACTAAAAAGGAAAAGAAATACTCTAAAAAATGAATCTCTTTGCTCAACAGCAGTGGGAACGCTCTCTACTAATCAATCACAATGTGTTCTTACAGTCTAAAGATCTAAAGATGGAGATACTGTATGACCAATCTGAGAGCAGAAACAGGCATTTAAGAACAATTTGTAACACGTCTTGGAGAATTTCTATACACGTCCAGTAATTTTCATTCTTAAATATCCAGGAAACAGTATTTCTAAAGAACAATGAAGGGTCACAAAAATTAAATGTTCTGTTTATTAAAAACAGAAACCAAAAAGAAAGAAAAATTAATGTTTCAGAATTTTCTACCCTTCACCATGGTGGTGGTGATATGTTCTCTCCATAATGAAAAGCCAGTATTGAAAAAACCAGCAAGAATAAAATTATCCTATACGTAGTTACAGTATTTTACTACGAGCTTAGTAGCATTTCATTTGAACAGAAATGCATAGAATTGTGTTGTTTGCATGACTGTTTGTCCCCGTGTTCTGTCCTGATGAGAAAACACTTCTTACAAAGAACCATATTTTGCTTCAGCAGTTCAGTTCACCTGTGAAATTAATATAATGGCTCTATAATATAGACAGCAACTTGCTTCAGTTGGCTCAGCAATATATAAAATGCACAACTGTCTGCCAATATCTGGAGATTTTAGTGATATTCTTTATGAAAAATTTCATTTAACATGCACTGTCCACATTTGAAGGGCTCTGCAATCATACCTATATCTAGAAATTAGATCAATCTTTGCATTTCAGATAAGATGTATAGCAGTTCTTTTTTTCTTCTGCTGGAGACGATACAAATGATTCCTCCAAAGAGGAAACATCCCATTGTTGCATAAGATTTAATAGACTAGTCCAAAATATTTCAAGATTACAACACTGTTCTCACCAAAATGTCTTGTTCCAGCTTTATCAAAATGGGACCAGCTTTGAAATAATAGAAGAATTTAATCTTGGTACATTTGGAATAGTCAGTTTCAAGGTCAGATTTCTGCCATTAAATCAGAATAACTATTCTTACATCAAGACACTTCCAGCAAGGACAGAATAGGGCATTTTGAGGTTGAAACACTCCATATTCTCAGTTTCTGCTAACAATAAAAAGAGCAGCATAATTTTATTCATGGTCAAAGTAGCTTAAATTTTGCTTTCCTGAAAAAAATATCTGCTCTTTTTATTTTTATGAGTAACCAGTGTACATTCACAATGTAACTGCACCTACAAAAAATCCTCCTCTGCCGATTCAAACATCATCTTATGAATTCTGAACTTCATGCTTCAAAAATCCTTATAAGAATAGAAGGATGCCAGTTCATTATATTACACTTTTATTTTACAGTTTTTCAAAATCTGTTTTACAGATACATTAACTGGGACAGCTGCAATACTGACCAAAAAAAGCATACCTACAAACCAAATACACATTTTAATATTTACTAGTATAGAATCACTAATATTCAAAAAGATGTGTCATGTAGTAAAGAAGGTGTGCGGCAATGCAAAATGTAGAGAAAAGATGTTAAAATGAAAAGTAAACATTGCATCCATGGTTACACAGCAGAGATCTTTGCAAACACATTTGGTATTGTAACATTCTAGACAGCAATATGCTTTGTAATACATATTGATTATAATACATGCCTTAGAAAGCCTGTATTCTGTGTGTGTAAACTTTAACCAAATAAACTAGATATAATAAAACAGAAAATAATCTGAAAGAAAGTTCTTCATCTTAAAAGGACACTGCATTCAGGTGCATTTTAAATTATTTTTGGAATATTCCTTTTCTCTTGCACATTATTTTCATTTATATAAGAATTTCATGATGCTACTTAATTGCTGCGATTGTGCAAGAAATATATGGTCTTCCAAAGGATAAAACTTTGCCTCAAAAAAAAAAGTCCATATTTTAACAACTGTAGCACAAAATGATTTGCAAAGGACTTAATTTTGAACAGCACTGCAATTTCTCAGCTATACTCCTGTGGTGCAAAGTAGCAGTTGTTCTAACAAACTGACAAAAATCTCAGCCAAAATTTCAATAATCTAATTGCTGTTCTCAACATCTTGCCTACTGAAACAGCACCTGTTTTATCATTATTGGGAACTAAAAGACAAGATCCAAGCACTTTAGAACTTCTTTAATGAGCTACGATACAAGATGATGCTCTCAGAGTATGGGATTTTAACAGACTAGCTACAATGCACTTTTAGGGATTCTTCATATTTTCAAAGATGTCCCTCAACCCTAGCTATCAGGCACTAGTTTTGCCCTGCTCCTGGCTCTGACATGACATAAACCATCATACAGCTCCAAATATCAGCCCTACTGACACAGGACAGCAGCTTCTTTAAAAGGCAATAGGAATAATATATGGTTTTCATCAAGCCAAAATGTTTAAAATGTAGGGGCACAATGGCATATTCAACATCCTGTTTCTTATCCCTTTTCCATAATCTTAAATTTTCAGCTCTCACTCAAAGTTTGTTTTCTATTCAGTCACCACACTTCCTACTACAGACAAAGTATCATGGCAACAAATTGAAGTTTGTGAAAAGTAATGACCTACATTCCAATCAATAGTTTCTTGTCATACTTGGAAAGTCAAAGCCTTCGTCAGAAGCATTTTTAGATTATTTATAATGTATTTCTGTCTTAACTTCTTTTTACTAAAACATTCGTATTGAAAGTGGTTATGGACTGACAATTTTAAAAAAAACAAATCCCCAAGTTTAAAGTTCAAGTCTTCTTACAAATAGAGCATGACACACTGGCTCTGAAAAAAGGTGAACAAATCTGCCTTTTTTCCTTCTAGAGCCATCTAATTGAAATATATAATCTGAAATAAGGCTGAAAAGAAAAAAAGGCATTTCATTTTTTTAAAATCAGAGTTAACAATTTCTTTGCACGTATGTCCTGACATTTGTGTTGAGCGGGCTCTGCATCTATTTATCATGAATGTTAACGTAAAGCTTCATAAATTCAAAAATGTTTGGTTGATCATGGACCCACATTAAAAAGTGAGGCAACAAAACATAAAGGGGGGAGAGAGGGAATGAACAAACGTTGATCTGAGGCTTCCATCTTCTGATTGCTCAAAAGGCCAAAATGTTCAATAAAATGTAAAACACAGTATATATTTTGTGTAGTCTAAAAAATTGTTACGATAACTTATTGCAAATTGCACTCGGCAGTTCGCCAAAATAATGGAAAAACTACCCCCTGTTGGTTGGCACAGTCCTTTAGCCTTGATTCAAAGTCACCAATAGAAAGATCTGGAAAGAAAATTTGCAGCTGTGCTCAGCCAACTGGCTGCCCCTTCTGGGTGTGACCCAACACGGGACACGGCTTTGTCTTGTTCCTTTGAAGGACTTTCATCTTCTGGCAAGTATTCAGGGAGGTCAGTATTTTGCTCCACTTCTACTGGAGTATCTTGGAAAGGAACCAACATCTGCCAAAAAGGGAACGTGGTATTAACACGCATCATGGAACATCACATCTTATTTTACAAATTTTGCTTTTGCTTTTCAGCTAGGCTACATTTATTTCTGCAATTGCTTTTGGATAATGTAATTTTTATTAGCAGAAAGGATAAAAATGACTTTTTAAAGGTGCTTTTTTTAAAAAAAAAACACATATCATTTTTTCCTCTTCTGGCTCATGAGTTCTACCACGCTATCCAAACATAGACGGCATTGAAAATTCCACATCTAAAGCTTTTCTTATCCATATTATTCAGATATTGGTGCTCAAAGCAGCTTGAGAAATTTATCGGCGGAGAATCTCATGTATATGTGATGGATATTATTATACTGGATGGAAAAATCACTGCTGTTTTCTTAGTGCCAACTCTTTTAACAATATACTTTTATTGGGTGGGCAGTTCTCTCACCTCTTCTCCAGTTTCACTTTTTACAACTTGCTGGGCTTTCATAACTTTGGTTGATGCTATCGCTGTGGCCAGTGCCTGCACAAAAATGGAAAAGGAAACAATAAGAAGAGCAAGATTTTTTTTAAAAAAAAAAAAATCTGTACCTGAAGCTGAAAATAAGGAAAGCAAACCATGCTTACCTCTGCTTTTAAATCTGATCTGATTCTGACAACACATCTTTGAATTGCCATTTGAAACGTAAAGCTGATGACCCCTTTTATTTTAAGTAAGGCTTCTTCGCATAGGTTTCTCCGTGACTGGAAATTAAAGAGATGCATTAAATGGGTCAATACTAAGTAAATAACATGAAGTTAACACATAGGTGCATGTGATGCTATACAAGCAGAACAATATTTCTAAACAAAAATAAATAATTGTTTGCATTTGGCTGTAAGGGTATAAAAAGGTAACATTTCTGCTTACATTTTGTAGGCAAACTAGAGAGAAATCAACTGTGAATAATGATGGAAAGTGCTGAAAAGCAAAGCAGCTTTTCTTTGTTATGATCAGCTAAACAGTCTCTTGTGATTTAGTTCTGACTGACTGAAATCCTCGCTGATGAGCAGTTAGTTTTTAAGTTGCTATTTATCAGACATCTTGTATCCATACTGACTGAAAGCATCAAAGCAGCTGTTACATCCTTCAGCTTCCTTATCTGTGGCAGCTCATGAACATCACTGCACTACACAACTCAATTCTGATGTCAACTGACAATGTCTGCTTATCCAATCACAAGCTCATCTTATGCTTTAAGTAAATGACAGGGCCTCTTCTATGCAACAACACAACAGTAAGCTATGCTAGTTTCATCAACTCTGAATTGCCCCAGCATGTTTTAATGCTTTTAGGGACTCCTGGAGAAGAAATGGCAAATTGAAAACGGCTCTGGTAAAAGCAGAGCTAATGCAGCAAATAGACCGGTTCTTTGTGAGTCCTTCCTTGTCCTTCAGATCACCCATAAGTGCTCTAGACAGTTGCTCTTTTCTGGCAGTTTAACAGATATGAAAGATGATAAAATAGCCAGGTTGCTCAAACCATGCTTGGTATTTCAAAAGGATACTGGCTCCGCATACTTCCTTTTCTAAACACTTTCAGAAATTGTTTGTTAATTCTTTGGATTGACAAGGCTGACAACAACGATTGAGTTTTCTTCAATATTTAGTGAAAAAGGTTTAATAGAAACATAAAGGTATATGTGTGTATGCATGCATGTGTGTAGAATAAACAGAAAAAGTGTCAGTAGAATTTTAATTTTCAAAAGTTACAAACAGACTGATGGAACAGATGAATTGGAAGGAAGATTTTAACATTATTATAAAGACCTTTCCAGTGATAAAATGCTTTTGTTTTGTTTTTGTTTTTAAGATAGGATGAGATTTTGAAGGTTGGACAATAGAGGGCACCAGAAGAACTAAAGATAACAATTAAAGGAGAAGAACATATAAATTTGACTTACTAATACAGAATGAAATACTGTAAAATATTTTAACATTGGACATATTGAAGGGTATTTTTGAACAATGGACCCAAAAGTTAATTTTAAAAGTACCTGCCTCTATAAATGTTATGGAAGAGGAACAGGTTTTCCCTGTCAGGATTGAGATTAATTTTAAAGTAGATTTAAAAATGACAGCCTACAAAAATGATAGGGAAATATAGTAATAGCACTTAACCTTATATACCACTTCATAGTGCTTTACAGCCTCTCTAAGCGGTTTACAGAGTCAGCATATTGCCCCCAACAATCTGGGTCCTGGATAATTTTCCTATATTGGATTTATAAAAAAGTCTTGTTAAAACTTCTAACAATTTTGTAAGAAGGGAAGAAGAAAATAATAAAAATAAATCAAATTGTAGGACATTATTTGAAGGGATTAAAGGTCAACTTTGTTAAAAGGACTATGAAGTTGATGTATCTGATCAAGGTTAAAACAGATATGACGTTATCCCTGGTAACGAGACCTTAAGGACATTTTATTATCCAACTAAGGTAACATCATCAGTGACAGTGAGTTGGATAATTAAATGTCTGCAAGCAAATAATCAAGTTCAGAGCACAAAGGACTCCACAGTATTTTCTTAGCTTTTAGAAACATTTAAGACACACCAATGGGCAAGCACATAAACAACCAAGTTAATTACCATAACAGGGACAAATTTAGGGGAACTAATTAGATCTGTTTTAATGAAAGAAGGTGAAAGAAAGCCAAAAGAGAAATGTTATTCTGGATTTGAATTGATTCTGGAAGTGTAGGCCTGAGTCCATACTGGGTCTGAGCAAATAGTTGATTTGAATATTCAGTCAAATCACTGAATCCCCTTAGAAAGTTGAATCATTAAATACGTGAGATGACTTTAAATCTATTAAAACAAATTGAATGCTTCCGCAAATGTGCAGAAACCTTTTTTAAATCATTTGTAACTGAAATCAATCTGTTTCAACCATTTGGATCAATTCAAATCAGATTTCGTCTCATTCATACTTCCCACATTGTATATGCTGATTGTCACTCAAATTATCACCCCACCAGCTTTATTAGTGAGGATGCATAACCTGTAAATCTGCTTCTCTTACAGGCTAACTTGTCCAAGATATAAGGCAATGCAGCAAAAGATCAGGTTCAATAATTTACAATGGCATAGGACTGAAACTGAAACCTAAGGGGCACTGTGGATAACCTGTTCAAAAAGTTTTATATTTTTCTAGGCAGCCATAAAAAGCTAGACATGGCCCTCAGATGCTTTCTACAAGAATGGAGGATAAATTTATAGAACCTATTTGATGTTCTATAAAAACTCCACTGAATATCTGCTATCCAACAGTCAAAGAAATATCATACAATATAAAAAGACTGCAAGCAAAGCTAATTTTTTTAAAAAACTTACATTTTTTTTGTATAAACCAAAATTATTCTTAATTTTAAAAAAATTTAAAGGAGAATTTTAAATAAAAAAGTAGCAAGAAAAATAATTGCTCCATTTTGTTGTTGTAGCTAACCCATACAGCAGTTGTAGTATTGATGAAATATTGCTGTCTCCCATCTTTTAGAAAACAATCACCACATCCGATGGCAGAGTTCGTAAAGAGCTCAAGATGTGACACCACTTAACTCCCCAAAATGAGTAACTTGTTTTCAAATAGGGCTCAATACATAAGATTGAAAGTTATCATATATGACACTAATTTTTAAAAGAGACCAGGAAGGATCAGGATAATATGTTAGTCAGCTTTATTTATTCCAGATAAATTGGTAGAAACAGTCTTCAAAGTTAAAATAACCAAGAATTTTGTGGGCCTAGGCAATCCTAGTAACTTTTTTAGATTATGTGATTTATAGTTTAATTTTCTATGATGGTGTATTATAAACCACCAAGTTATTGGAAGTAGAATAATATATAAACACTTATATGTTTTATATAAATCTACTGGGGTAGGACAAAATGGAAATCAGAACACGGACCTGAATAGAATATTCTGGAAGAACGTGTAGCCAGTCCAATGACAAGGTTGGCAGGCTGGTCAGCCTACTTTACTATTTTCCTATAGCTTGCCACTGTAATAGCATATGCTCAATTTCTTAGCCAAGTCTTTTACTTACTTCCAGGCCCTAAAGTGGCTGAACATAGATCAACAAGTTTATATATTCAGAGATATTTATGTTGTTAGTTTCTTGGGAAATGTAAAGTTATTTCTGAAATGTTCATTACAAACAGTTATTTGTAATAAGGCACACCCAAGGGATTTGAAAACAGACTTAACACAGATTAAATATATTTACATTTAGTTATATATTACATCTACACATCGAATATATTTACAAAAAACAATTGTTCTCATTTTCATATTTCAGTGTGAGTTATAAATTCCAAAATGAATTTCTTACCGAATCATCAAGGCCGTCTATGTGTAAAACTACTGTTTTAGCACGTTTATTTGTACTTCCAAGAAAAAACTGAGCTTTTCGACGTCGAGAATTCATCTCATTCACATTGTCCATGTCAGACATATTGGAAGACTGAAGAATATCATAAATTTCTGAAGCTAATAGTTTTGTTTCCCCAGGTGTTGTGGTCCTAAAGCAAAGAAAATTCAGATTTATGTAGATGTATTGTAGTTTTTTCTTAACCGAATTTCTTTTATAATTCTTCCAGAAAAGACACCTGTTTTTTTACTTCTACGTCAGTAGCACTATAGATCCTAAGATTATTTTTTAATCTTGGTCCTTAGTTTTACAAAACAATCACCCCTTACAAAAAGATTCCTTCCCTAAATACTTATTTATCATTACTTTGTCTTATTTATCATTACTTTTAATTTATTATGGATTTTCAGTTAAATGATTTATTGGCAGTTGAAGTCCAAACATATTAGTGGATGAGGTTGATAAACACTGAGCTAATTATTGTATCTCTATAATAAAAAAAAACATAATTTGTTGTAGTCATCTGACATTCTCCAGGGAATAGTAGTAATAGAAAAACCAGAGATGAATGGAGGGAGGGGGAACATGCAATATTCTGAACAAATGAAATTCAAGGAGAAAAATAGACTGGTAGCTGACATTGAATGAATGGGTGACAATCAGATGAGATAATTCAAAAAAGACATTGAACCATTCAAAGCCCCAACAGTGAATCAGAAATATGACTCTTTAAATAATATCTGCTTAGGGGGAAATATTTATTTAACACAGGGTTTAAACATAAGTGTATTTATATGTACATGTGGAAAGGAATAAATCTAAATCTATAAGCATGATTGACCTGATAGTCTGGGGAACTGAACATAAGGGAAAAGGATATGTAAGTTACTTGGAACAGAGTAGAAATTTTATACATTGCTCCCATCCAGAGTAGTGTCATATAACAAAACCTGAGAAAGTAGCGCTTAGCCTTGGAATAAAACAATCCAACCTTACTCGGATCTCCTTTCAGAAGGTATTATATTAAAGATAGGTGAGAAATTGCTCTTAGAAGGAAAATATGAACATTAATGAAAGATATTAACACAAAGATAGATAGTAGCTTTGAAATATGTATCTCTGTATAGTTTCTCTGTATATATGTACACAGTTTGTCCAAAGCAACATCTAACAGATGTTTTGTAGTTTCAAAGATACTTTGGTAGAGAAACACAAAACTACAAGGGTAATGAATACATTTCAGCACACATACACCCCACAATATGGAGAAATAGAAATCCAATGTTGCTGAAAATGGGATTACAATATTTAGAGGCTATTTTAGTTTAATCAGAACAGAGCTCCTTTAGTACAATAATAATTTTAATTCTTTTCCATATTTCTGGAATGGCACATTTGTGTAACAGTTATGAAAATAATATCAATTCCTAGAAAATTTCAGTTGGGGGATTGTAAGTATTTTATGAGGTTTATTACTGTTAATAACTTGATTATTTCCTTTTGTCAATCAATGTATTTTGTTACTAAGCAAATAAACATTGGCTGCATTATTTGTTTTGTTCCCAAATATGATTGTTTTAATTGCATAACAAAACTTGAACTATATCTTCAAAACATTATTTAGGCATTTTCCAATTAGGCACAGCAGATGGCATTGTTTCCTTTTCTTTAAGAACATTAAAATTAAACTAAAGCTGTATTCCTAAGCTCCATATTGCACTATACAATGTGCATCCATTGCCTTTCTACCATTAATGTATAAAATGTTCACAATTTCAAAAAATTCCAGAAAGTCAAAATCAAAGCATGTGCTACCTCGCCTTAGATTGCTTACCATTAATTGTACATAAACCAAGATACTTATTGTTTTACAAACTGTAATTTTAAAAATCCAGTTTAGAACTGGGTTGATTCATGCTTGTATTTTTCTCACTATCATATGAGAAATTTGTATATGACCATCATGAAGAAAATCCAAAATCCAACTTATAGATTCAAAATAAGACTCATACTATCCATTGGCAGTGCCTCATTATCCTCTGTTGTGTTGAATAATAGCCACAATAGATAACGGATTTTATTCAATTATCATCCAGGAATTCTGGATTCATAGTACCATACTGATATCCATATTGAAGGATATCATTCTCCCCTTGCTTCTGGCAATTTAAGATAATCAGTTTAAACTTTTCTAAAGGGAACTACAAGCAATTAAAACTGTATTAAATTAAAACTGATGGAAATGGTTAGATTTACAGAAGTGTGGGTAAGGGAAATACATACCTGCAAGGGATTCTTGTGCAATTAAATACATATTAATTTAGCTGATTGTTTTAGATAACTAATAAATTGGAAAAATCTGTGCTGGATTTAGTTCAATATATCCTGGCAAAAGTAGACTACTATGGAATAAAAAGTGCTTTTAGCTAAATAATTAGACTTCGGCTTTCATTAATTTGCCAATCTGCATTAAAAGTTCCTAGCTATCAAAATCCCCCTAAATTATGAAATACCAAAAAAAATAGACGTTGTAAAGATCCTCAGGATTATCAAACAAGCTATGAATGTTAACCTTCAGCTACTCATGGATCACTGATCTAATTAATATAAAACATAAAATAAGTTAAAACTGCACAGAATCTGCACTTTAGATGCATAGTTAGTTATTCATATATGTTAACTGCTGCTAGAATTGTATAGGCACAAACCTGGAAGAGTGAAGAGATACCTACAGATGAAAATGTGATTAGGAAAATATTAAAATGTGCAGAAATGAACAAATGCTTACAATTAAGGAGAAAGAGCGAACTAAATATTATATGACATGAGATTTATTTTATCAATGGTTAAACAACAAAAATGGAAGTTAGAAAGAGGGAAACAAAATAAAGATGTTATATTAAAAGAGACAAGCAAATATTATGATTAATATGTTGAATATTGCTATTTTAATATTGTAGAATTAATATAAATGTAATGAATGTTGCAAATTTTGATTACTGTTCAACAAAGATATTTGTACCCAGACAACACACTGTTCAACTGAAGATGGAATTATATTAAAAAAAAATAATTTTAAAAAAATCTGAATCTTTTAGCAACATTTAGGACACTGTTGTCCTTCAGATGTTTTAGACTACAATCTCCCTTAAGATTGGCATTGCTGGGATTAGCTGATGAAACCTGTACTTGGGATACAGTAGCGGGACTAACTTTCTGTCTCTTAGGATCTTCATACAAATAGTTTTCAGGTTATCACCAGTCATTCATTATCTGTTCAAAGATACAGTGACATTGAATGAATGGTACTTATGACAGTTCCAGCCAGTGCACTGTACCTGCAGTCATATGATCACTGCTGCCTTTAAAGCAGAATTTCATTGATCACATTGTATAGAATCAGCAAAAACAAATTACCTTTGTATTGCTGTGTATATGATTTTGAAAGCAATTTTAAAGGACAACACAATCAAGTACATTTACCACAGAAAGCATACTATACTTACTTCTGTACAACAGTCTGTAAACTCAGCATCATTCCCAGTTCACTTTTCATCTTTTCTCTATTGGCCCGACATTCCGCCAAATAACGTAGAGCCTATTAGAAACAAATGGATCAAAGAACCAACCACAACAAAAGACATTCTCTGCATTTTCTTTCGCATCTCTCAAAAATGCATTGTAGTAATTCAGAAGATTGGGAACTGTGTTATGCTTACAACATAAACCTAAAATACTGTTTATTTACTTAGTCATCCCATTTCTATATCACCCATCTCACCTGTTAGCATATATGTGCCAGGTAAATATCAAAAATAATGTTTCTCTCTCTATAAAATAAGAATGGATAATTCTGATGTGTTCAATTTCAAGTTTGGCTATTTCTACACTTGGGATTTTAATAATCTCGTGGACATTCCATATGCAGTTAGAATATAGTCTGTGTTTGGGAAACTGCATAGTAAAAAGTAATTGGGTTTTGATTTGCATATTAATTCTGGAAGCACAAATTAGATAAATGCAATAAAGAGTGAAATGAACAGGAATTAGAGTGTAGACAAGAGGAGAAAGATGGTGAGAGAACTGGAGGCTAAATCTTATGAAGTTGGTTAAAAGTGCATGGCTCTTGGAAGCCTAGGCTAAAGAAAAGAAAGCTAAGGGAAAATGATAGCAGTCTTCCAAAAGTTGAAAGACTGTCACAATGGGTGGAAGCTTTGTTGACTGAAAGCCATTCAACAATGGAACTGTCTGCTTCTTGAAGTTGTGGGTGCTCCATCACTGGAGGCTTTCAAAAAAGATTGGAAAAAAAGATTGTCTAGAAAGGAGACTTCCAACCTTTTGATTAACTTCAGACTTGATTTCTCCAACCATATCAATATACAAATTATAATCAGTTCCCTTACAAAACCAAATGATATATATGCAAAATACATTTAAACATCACTTTTAAATTCATCCACTGTTATCCACTCAGGCACTAAAAACCCTGCTACAATTTTGCCAGGAAGGATTTTCAATGAGAGAGCAGAGAGGCAGCTCAGTGAGATAAGGAGCAGGGGGAATCCCAGGGGGGAGGATGAGGAGGCCTTGGGAGACCCAGCACAAGACACGGATGAGCGGTTCTCCGCTCAAGCACTAAAAATCCTGCTTGGATTTCATCAGGGAGGATTTTCAGCTCCCAGACCAGAGAAACGTGTCCAAAACACCCCACAAAACTCACACACAACTTCATTGGGGCTCCCAAGGTTTCCTCCAATGAAAAGTTTCCCCGTGTTCCTTACTTGGGACTCTTGTCTGCTTGGCAACCCTTGATATCGCTTAACAACTGCAACCCAGAGTTGCCTGGATTATGGTCATTGAGAAAAGCAGTCATAAGATGTCCTGCTTAACAACCATTTCACTCAACAACTGAGATTTCAGTCCCAATGCTGGTCATAATTCAAGGATTACCTATAGGCCATATACATTCCAAATTCTCACTATCTAGGCAGCCTTGAAACTAGATTTCAATAGATGCAAATCATAAGTCTGTAAATTTTTTGCTACCGGAGTAGTATCTTTAGTTAAGAATCTGCTTATAACAGCTGGAAAAAAATATACCTCCAACCAGAAGAGAAGATCCTAAGGCAAATACTACACTTATTTTATCAACTAGTAATTTAATAAGAGTCAGTTTGGGATTAAAGCACAGAGCTAAAAATTAGGAGATCATGAGTTCTAGTCCTACCTTAAGCATGAAGTCAACTGAGTGATTTTGTACCAGTGCCTTTCTCTCAATCGTAAGAAAGAGAAAATGGCAAACCACTTCTAAAATATTGCCAAGAAAACTGCAGGGATTTCTCTAAAAGTCACCAAGAATCAGCAATGACTTAAAGGCACACACACACACACAAGTCATCTTACTGAATATAGTTAGACCTCTTCTTTTTCAATGATAATTATAATTTTTTCCTAGATTCTTAAAGCAATCACTGAAATTTGAAAATCCCAAGAAAGCAAAGAATTTGAAAAAGGATGGTGATTTTTTTTAAATATAAAGAATGATCATTCAGAGAAATTAATGCATAAATAGAACTATATATCACCTCCTACATTTTTAACAAAAAAAAAATGAATTTGGTTAAGATGGCAATGTAAACTGTTTTAAATGAAGAGATTCTATTTGGTTTGTTTCTATTGGAATACTGCTTCTGATTATTTATGCTTGAAACAGAAAAATGAAAATTAGAATTTGAAGATTTAATAATATGCAATTATAGAACTGGCTTATAATAATAGGTAATGTAAAAAGTTGAAGTTGCAACTGTGTATTTTATTGTGTTGGATAGGGGTTGAAGGTCAACACATTTTTCCTTCTTTTTTTAAAATCTTGTATATTTCCTCCCTCCCAACTTTTTTTTTTGCTTTATCTTTGTTTTCATTACATTTTATGTTACAATAAACCTCAATAAAACATTTGGAAACAAAATTCCAAGAAAGGAAGTAAGTTTGAACAAGTTATTGAAACTTCTGAAAATGCCAGTTCAATTTGTTGAAACTAGTTTCATGCTGACTTCTATTCTTCATGAACAGTATATCACTGTGATGGTGAACCTATGGCACGTGTGCCGGAAGTAGCATACAGAGCCACTTCTGCTGGCAAGCGAGGGGTCGCTTGGAAGAGCCCCACCACACATGCGCCCGACAGCTGATTGTCAGGTATCTGGCACACACGCGTGGCGGTGCGGGGGACACGCGTGCATGTGCAGAGACATGCGGCATGCATGAGGGGACTCACACATGCGCAGGGGGCATTGCCTTCTGGGTGCTGGCACATGAGCACGGGAACCGAAAAAGATTAGCCACCATTGGTATATCAAAAGAACATGATTAAACTTCATTGATTTGCTTCTGCCTTCAAAGATAATTATGACTTAAATTTATGTTCAAAGAAATAACTAAAACATATATAAGCTAAAGCTGTCAGGAGCAAGCTCTTTCTCTAAAGACATTTTAAACTTCGACTGTTATTGAAAGAAATAACCAAACTCTATTAACACACACCATTTGGTAGCTGTATTTGCCATGAATTAAGTAGACCACATGTTATATTTTAAATACTAATCTATATATTTAAAATAACATGGAGTCCCTCTTCTTGTTCAGGGATTATTATAATTCTTGTTGAGAATAATTTACACACATATACAATACACTCAGCATACTGTCTTTCTGGAATTAACATTACACAAAGTGCAGAAAAAGTGCTGTAGATTAAAAATAAATACTAAAATGTAAGAAAAAATATAGATGCACACTAATCTGAATAATAAATAGCCTACATGTAATTCAGAAAATATTTTCTAATATGCGCCCTAGAGCTTTGGATTTTATGCTTGCAAGCTTCATTATAGCATGCATCTGTATTTTTCAAGTGACAAAGTCTCTTATTTTCCTAAGACACATGAAACCTACTTGTAGACCCCTGCATAGTGTAGTAGACAGATTCTGGTCAGAATTTCTGAACAGAGAAACATGTAATAAAATGAACAGATTGTAGGGAATTCCCAAAACATGTACCACAGTGTACCTCTATTCTGGCAAAATGTGAAAGCTAGCCATCACACAAGTCTAAAAATACCACAAAATTTCCTTGAATAAAATGAATGTCCTACAAACTTCCAAGCCAAGACAGAAGAAATGAAGTTCACATGATAATGAATTGCTTTAGTTGCAAAATGCTGAGTAAATACAGGTTTCCAAATGTTACTTTGCCTTCTAAAAAATTTTGTTGCTATAACTCCATAATATTAAGCAGATAAGAATTTGTTTTGCAGTTATCAGTGTAACTATATTATAGGTAGATGAGCTCTAAACTATATTAAGCGTGCTATAATTTTTCCCATCATTTTCATTTCAGCAATCTTTCTATGTCTCAGTGGGTAAAGTGTTTAACTTGCTCTACTCAGGATGTTTCAACACATGCAGAGAACCCAAATTCAAGCAATTTTCCACTTGTGTACTAGTTATTGATTATGAGTGTAATCATGGAAATGCATGATAACAAATGTGCATTTAGGTTCTTATGTTTTAGATTCCATAGCTACCCAAAATCCTTAATGCTACAAGATGAGCTATCCACTAATACTTACAAGTAATGCTGAATGGACAACTGGTGGGTTGGGATGATCCAAAAATAATATAAGGCCTGGTAGACATCCCTGGTCCTGGACAATTGCTCTTCTATTCAGAGGATCAGCTGCCAAATCTCTCAGCTGGTTTACTACGGTGAGTGCATCAGGCTCCACATTCATTGAGGTATTCATTTTTCCTTGTCATACATATGATTCTACTATAAAGAAATTTGTTATCAAAACTATAGTGATATGAAGTAATTTCATAACTACTAAAGCAAAAATTCATTCTATGTTTTAATATCTTGATATTTTTTAGGAAAGAAGTACTCAATAGTTTCTTACTACAACTAAATTCACAGCCAAGTAACTTGCTCACACAAAATTTAGAAAGAAATTTCATTTAAAAATTTGCAGATGTCTAATGAATCCCTAGGGTCATGATGGTGAACCTTTTCCACATTGTGTGCCAAAAATGTGCATGCATGCACCACTCGCGTGTCTGCACCCATGATGCAATGTGCACATGACCCCCCCCACCGTGCGCATGCACATGCAACCCCCCTGCACACCACATGCCTCTGCATATCTCCCACATCCGCATCTCCCTGTGCATGTGCGGCAGATACCCGAGAATCAGCTAGCTGGCGGGGGGCACATGCTTATGTCCAGTGGGGTTCTTCCAGGCGACCTCTCACATGCCAGCAGAAGTGGCACGCAGAGCATGCGTGTCATAGGTTCACCATCACAGCCCTAGAGTTTAAACAACAGTAATCCCACTGTGGGAAATAGGGCCTTCAAGAAACCCTGTGAAAGACTGCCATTTGAAGTCCTATGGATACTTAATTAGAAGTCTAGCAATTTCACTAGCACTTCCAAGCACACAATTAACAGCCTTCAGATAAAATGCCACTGCGAAGTCCAAACATAGGCATATTCACCCACAAGTAGCCTGCAACTTATTTCTAGGAATATTTATTTCCAATTAGCTTTTCTTTCGCTTTCATGCTTACAAGTCGGTGACTCGACTCAAGCCCTGGCACTTGCCAGGCCTCGTCCTTGCACTTTCTTGCACTGCAACTCTTACACTGGGAGGCATCACATAATATAAATGAAATCACGACACGGGTTTTAAGGAAAGTAAATAGGATTGCAACCTCACGCATTAAAAAACTTAATTACCCGAACTGTGTTTCCGTTTGAACGTAACAAGATTGCGCTGAGCTCTAATACTAAACCTAACTAGCAGCCAACTGCCACCGAGTCTTAAGTGATTGCAAATCACTTAAGTCTTATCACTTAAGTCAAATCGCCAGTCTTGGACAGGAGGATAATTTGGATCTCTAAAAGAACTGCAGGCATCGAATAAGTAGCAGCGTTCATAATCTGTCTTGGGTTCTTTCCCGTCCGCCTTCAATCTATTCCCACTTCCATTCCCCATCTCTTTCCTGCCCCCCCCCCCCCAGCCCCATTCCCAGGTCCAGGGATCCCCCATTACCGCCCTCACTTTCATTGGACGCAGAAGGGGAGGCGCTTTGGTACTCCCGCCCTCACGGAGGAAGGACCACTCCAAATCACGTATCGGCTAATGGCGCTGCCGCCGCCTTCGCAAACCCAGAGACTCTGGCAGAGGAGCCGCTTGGAACTTCCGGGCGCCCGGCGAAGGTCAGAAAGATGAACTGGAATCGCGGACCCGCCAAGGCAGCATTCACCCAGTAAGGCGGGCGGGCGCCGCTCTCCGGCACCGCGGCAATCCCTGAGACGCGATTGGCTGCAACCGAAGGCGTCCTCTCTCCATTCGTGGCTCGCCTTATTATGAACACCCCCTCCGATTGGCTTATTCCGGGTCAAGGGTTCTGAGGCATTATGGGTTAGAATGAAATCAATTTTAGGAGGCATTTCAACAACTACAACTCCCAAGAAGCTCTGGTTCATGGTTACCATTTACTCTTTGCAGGCGGAATGAGTAAAACAGTTGTGCCTTGGGACGGACCTCGCACATTTGCTTGTCCGTGGACTCCCGTAGTGAGACTTATTTGAAGGCGAGGGTCTTCATTTCCCCCGAGTTTAGTGGATCCTACTGGTTAACTGTTTTAGCCAAATAATCAAATATCGTATAGGATTGCGATCTTAGGATAAAAATGTATAATGCGCAGTATTCAATATACTTGAATTTTTGAAAAAGATTTTTCCTTTGAATCAAAAGCAACTCCTTATCTGATTTCAGAGAAACATCCATGCAATTTTGTTGGTAGCTCTAGAAATGCTTTGCCTTCTGCCTTCCCCCGCCTCCCCACCAACCTAAACAGCCCTGGAGATTCCTAAAGTTTTCATCTAACTACTAACGGGGTGGCCATGTTTACCTGGAAGTAAATTGCATAGTTGGGTGAATACTTGTATTTAAATTGCAATTTAAATTTCCTTTTCTCAAGGTTGCTTTTCAATTGAAAATGACTCATGACTGATAAATTATAAGTGGTTACAAAAGGGTTACATTATGGCCTCATTTACACATAACTAAGTATATTGAATAAATCCAGCCATTTATAAACTACAGTTTTTATTATAAATCAGTTTGCCTAAAGTACCAGCAAAACCCAATCACTTGACGCTTATTAAGAAACCATAGTGGGTTTGTGTGATTGTTAAACCCATCTGGGTTTCTTGCAAAGGCTTATGATAGCCATCTGTTAAATTTTTGCTATTGTAGATAGTAAGAATATGTAAGTGTATAGTTGTAACTATACCTTTAATTAAATTCATTTGGTCTTTGGAAAAGGCATGAAAAGGCTGAAAATCAGTAGATTAAGCTATACAATTCAGGGGTGTCAAACTACAGTTCATGGGCCAGATGCATCACAAGCAGGCCACGCCCACCCTAGCTCTGCAAAGGGGGGAAATGTGAAATGTCTTGTGATGGCAACATGACACCCCAAGTTTGACACTTGTGCTATACATAAACATCTAGCGTTGTTTGCAATAGCAGCAATTTTTTTTATTTGTGCATCAAAATCACAGAAAACAATCCTCTCACATAATTCAGTAAGACATGACTTCAAGATGCTAATCTTTGCTAACCTGGTGCTCTACAGATATAGCATTACATCCATCCTGACCCAAAATTTAGGGATTCCCAAGCAAAGAATTAAATATTAAACTTTCCAACATCCTTAACCTGTTAGTATGCTGCAGTTTGGGATTGAGGGTGGTTATCACATCTGTAGTTCAGTGTTTTCATAGTTAGCCTTTCGTTTGCTATAGGTTGAACTACAGTTCCCATCAGACACAACTAATACCCCTAGTGGTCAGGAATTACAGTAATGAATTTGGACAGCTGTAGTTTTGCAATCCCAAATAATAAGACTTTTAAGTTTCAATAAGTTGGTTTTACTCTACATTAAACATTTTGCGTAGTACAACAAACTAGATTTGCAAAATAAAGGTATCTGAAAATAAATACGTTGAACGTGTTCTCTTTTTTTTAAGGTTTCTCCACTAATACTTGAGAGGATGACAATAGGCAATAAGATAGATGGACTCTGTTAGAGTGGCAGTGAGATACAGTTGGAAGAGCTGAAGGGCCAACTTAGGGACAGATCATCAAGGAGAAATCTTGTGGCTGCTAAGAGTCCTTACCGATGTGATGGCATGTCAGTCAATTAATAGGTAGTGCCAAAATATACCCCAGTACAGGACAAAGCAAAGTATCGCCTTTACGCAAACGTATGTATTTGTTACAGTAAAATAGCTCTAGATGGCGCTCCTGCGCAATCCTTTGATACTAAAGAGCAAAACTTTCCCAGCCTTTGTCGCAAATAGCTTATTCGAAACATTTAGGCGGGGTTTGAACTTTCTAAAACCATCGAGATGAGAAAGGAGACCTATGGAGCGGATGTCACTCCTGAGATCATAGAGTCCGCGGGCTTCTATCCTGTCTCGACGATGTTATCGACGATGATATATCTCGTCATCTAGCCGGACTGCAAGACTAAGCCTCGCCTCCCGAAATGGCCGTCAGCGATTGGCCAGGCTTACTGCCGGCGCTCCGCAGGATTGGTTGCTGCGGGAGACGGACGAAGAGAGTGGAGGGATTGCTGGCCGGCGATCACTCAGTGGCTCAGGTAGAGTCCGAGCCAAGGAATAAGCCCTGGAGCGGTCTGACGAGCAGGTGAGTTCGTTCGTTCCATCTGCCTCAGGGCCTCTCGTTTGTTGTCCCAGTTCAACCCTATCGATAAGTTTTGGGTGTGGGACGAAGGGCGTCCCGGTCAGGTCGGGGCTGAGAGAGAATGCGCCGGTCGTGAGTCAAGGACACGCGCCGCCGCTGCCGCCGAAGGTCTCCCCGAGGTTGCCGGGCGCCGCTTTTTGTTTTCCCCAGTCGCGGGGCGGGAGAAGAGACTCGCGCCTTCCCGGCGACACCTGCTTTGGCTCTTCCGCTGTGTTGGCCGGCGGCTCCCGGTTCTTGCTCTGCGCGCCTGTCCCGTCCCCCCACCACTTCCCCGCCCGTCAAGGGGCTGATTCGGGTTGGGACCGTGTTCGGCGGCGGGGGGGGGGGGATCGTTTTATGTCGTTTTGTCTCCAGAATGATCTGATTTTTGAGGTAGGCCTAAACCTGGTGGTTCTCAAATTCCTGCTTCTGCGCCCTTTCTAAGCTCCTCGGGGCCTAATTTTTGTTTTTTGTTTTTTTCCTGTGAGGCCCCCGTGGCTTATCTGAGAAATTTCGTCTGGTTTACATTCGTTCCTTCGATCGTCTTCTCCCTTCTGTTTTTGGGTGCTCCGGAGAAGGCAGTTATTCTTACAGTTCTTCTTACATCTAAACAGAATTTGCGTGGCCACCTCTGTTGCTTCTAATAGTGCCGGGTTTTCCTCCTCTTCCTTGTTTATTTCTTTGGACACCAAAACAAAAAAATCATCGAGTAATGGGGAAAAGACGCTACTGTCTTGTGAGCTAAAGGCTTAAGAACTGTCTGGATCAAAATAAATAAAGCGGTAAGCCCATCCAGATTTGCCTCTAACTAGTACTTAGAGAGCAAAATTCAAAGTAAGGCGCACAACATCTGTGATCTACAGTAACATTCCTGCACACTTAAAAATATTCCCTCTCTCAGAAAGATTTTAAAATTCTTCCTACATGATTAAGACATCGCTCACCCACTTTGAATCATCCCCCACTTCAGTTTTGTTCTCCACAAAAACTACACATTTGCTCATCTCTGATATTAGCTGTGTCTATTATATTACTTTTATTGTTAGAAAATGTGTTCATGATCTGACATCTATAGACAAAATGCTTCAGAACCTGGTGGTTAATATATTTAAGTATATTTTGGAAAAAAACATTAAAAATGTGATGTTTGCAAAATTATGTTGTTGCATTCAACAATATTGTGGGAAATAGGTCACTGTACACACATAGAATTCATTTAGTGACAATTGGGACCACCAATATAGTGAAATTGCTGAGTAAAACCATGACACTGCTTATGATCTTACTTCAGCTTTCCTTTGTTTTACAGACCTGAAATATGAGAATTGGTCACAAAGTTACTTTTTTTTACCATTGTAATTGTGAATGGTTAGTAAATGAGGCAGTCACTAAACAAGGATTGCCTGTAATCTCTGTAATCATAATATTTGGTTTCTGCAGTTAAATGGATTCAGTAGAGAATGATATGAAATAACTGACATGACATAAAACTACTCTGACACTGAATTTGCAGCTGAACTGAGCTAGATATTTTTATGTTACATACTGATACTCGCTCATCGCAGGTATAATTGTATTTGCAACAAAAATGTTTTCACATAAATTAAAATTTTAGAGTTGCAACATGTGTAGCAACCATGTGTGCAAAACCAGTAATTTTGCAGTTAATTATTATAACCTCTGGCTGAGTCATTTGTTTGATTCTGCCACAATTAAGTTACTTCAAAGACAAATAGAAAGTTACCAAGGAATTGTCATGTACTCATAGTATATAGAAATGGACAAAAAGGTGTTAACGGCTACATTAATCATTTTGTTAGCAATTTATAAATGCCTTGTGCTAGTAATAATTGTATTGTGTGTATAACTAATCTTGGTATAAGTTAATACAATTATACACGATATAAACCAAAATAATTAATGCATTTTATAATAGAATATAGTAAATAGAAACAATTCCTAATGGATGCAATTCAGGGGTGGGATTCTACCAGTTCTGTCCACTTCTGTAGAAACGGTAGTTCTGAAGAGTAGCAGGCATAGAACTGGTTGTATGTCTGCTGCTGTTTTGGCCCACCCGCCCGCCTGGGCTCTTACCTGACCTTTATTTCCTGCTTTTTCAACTGCAGCTGCTTTCCGTGACACAGCTGTGATTGAAAAAGTAGGGAAAAAATGCTTTTTCAACTGCTGCGCACCCGCGCACAGCACTTCTCAGGTGTCCAGGCAGCTAGTTGATGATATACACGTACGTGGAGCATAAAACGTGAAATCACCGAACCGGTAGTTACACCAGTCGGATCCCACCCCTGATGCAATTACATTGGTGATGAGTACACCACTGGAAAACCCGAAAGACTAGGTTAGGGAAAGACCATCATGGAGAAAACCTTATCGTGGTTTGCTTAGAGTTGACATCAAATTATTGGCACATAGTCAACAGTCTGTACAACTTCAGTATAAATCAATAGATAGTAATGAGGCAAAATATTTTTCTGGTTTCATAAAGGTCCTATGAAAAGAAGCATTCTAATAGTTCCTTAAAGTTCAAAATATTGAATTCTAAATTTAGGAACTGAATGGAAAACATGTCTTAAAATTTTAGGGTGCATTATTCATTATTAATTCATTATTAATGATAAGCTGACATTTTACTAATTTATTTGATTCTATACTTGTAAATAGGCTTTCACACAACTGTATCTCCTATCAAAAACCAAATAATAGCTTATCTACTTTAAATGTTATGTCCTTAGCACAAAAAACTATTTAATTGTCTGGTTCAATTTGATTTTACAACTGGAGTCCCAGAACTCGCATACCTGCAGAGTAAAAATTAGAAATAAAAAATAATTTAATATAGCAGCCAAAACTAAATAGCTGACACTTAAAGATTGCCCTTGATCTTGTCAGTGTTAAACATTACTGAACAAATCACATTTATTTTATTCTTTATGAGGGAGTAGTATATTACTGTTCCTACATAGCTTGGATGTATTTGTTACCAAATAATTATACAAAATAATACCGTTTAGCAATGTAAGTTCTTGTTTTAATGCTATTAGAATTTATAATTCTAAGAGAAGCTCTAAGAGATTGATGGGATGTTTTGTGAACAGGTTGTGCTATAAATAAATCTCATTGTTTTAATTGCTCATATTAATGAAGAATTGCAACTGTGTACAGGTATTCCTCACCTTACAACCACAGCTGAGCCCAAATTTACTATGTTGCTACATTTAATTTTGGGAATGATCATTTTATCAAGATCAGGCAGGAGCTTCCAATTAGAAGCTCTTAGGAGAGCCAAGATGGGTAGTAAAGTTAACATGTTGAAGTATTATAGAAAGTTCTCAATTCTCACTCCATTACAGGTTTGCTGTTATGAGAAAGAAATTGGAAGAAAAGGTGCTCTGTAAAGCGCTTGGAGCTCCAGGAGCAAAAATAAATCTAGTTAATGTCAATACTCCTTTTTAAGAATATATACTGTATTTTTATTTCAGGTTAAAGGAATATTTTTAAAATGTCAACTGTGAAGCATATATCATGAACTGCTATTCCCAGGTGAGAAACTGACAACTGAACAGCCAACAAGTTAGCTTCTAAAACCTGCTACAAGTAATAAAGCCTAAAACTAAGAACTGCCTTTCCAAATGAATCTATTTTTCCTCTGCTAGGAAAAACTAACCATCAACTAAAACAAGTTTATAATGCAATATTTTATGAGAGCAGTTTTGCTTGAATTTCATTTCCTTTTCTTCAGTTGCATTTTTCCATTACAAAACTCAAAAAGCTGATTACTTTCCAAAATAATCATAACTATGTTCACTTTACTAAATTGTTCTTATTCATGTGAACTAAGTACAAAATAATTCTGTTCTTTAGGGATATGCATATTTACTGCAGAAGAAAACTCTTCAGACATTAAATTTCACATTATTAAACCATATATTTTATTGGTAGTATAGCCAGCCAGATGTTTAGTCTGGATTTGACCTTTTTATCCACCTATTGGATCCTTCCCAAGGACCTGGGATAAATAGATGTCTCATGGCGTTAGAGGTATCATTGCAACATACTCTATTCCAATAAAGTTGCCTTTTTCAATTGACAATGATGATTTTGTCAGTGCCAATAGTATTCGGCACTGTGTTTTAGGAATGCACTCAAGGTACTTATTACTTTTGGTACTGTCTTTGCTTTATGTTGCTCTAGTCATTCTACTTCTATTTACAGGTCTTTATATTTTGAGGTTTCCTCCAGTTCTTTCTCTTTTCTTTTGCTGTCTCCAGATACTGCCATGCTCACCATACAGACTTTTAAATATATTATTTGCCTAAAGTATGCTAACTGTTTTAATGCAGTGTACTTTCAAAATTATATTTGTTAAAATCATTCTCAAACATCATGGCATTTATTGTTTAAAATTGCTTCAGTTGCTGGTACTAAAATAAATTACATTAAATAATTGAATTGGTTACCATTTTTGTACTCGTGAAGTGTGATCTTTGAACATTCCTAAGTATAATATTTTATCTGAAAAAAATAAAATATATTGTGATTGATCTATGACAGGGATGTCAAACGTTATCATGGCGGCATCATGTGATGTATTGGACTTTTTTCCCCTTCGCTAAACTAGGCATGGGCGTGGCCAGTGCCTGATGCATAGGCCTGTAGGCTGGGAATTTGACAGCCCTAGTCTATGGGTTCTGTCTTGTGGTATACCATGTAAAACTTTAAAAGTATTTTTGTATATACAGTATATAATTGATTCTTGCTTCTGTTGTAACTGTTTTCCTTTGAATCTTTTTTCCTGCTTTGAATATTAGAATACAACTTTATAGTGTTTAATTAATTAAAGGTGGTGTACAATTAAAACTACCAGTTACATACTTTTAGTGAAAACTGCTAGAGCTCTAGCTGTTATTATATTTATTTTGAGATGAATTGTCATATTAAAACAGATGCATATTCTCTTAAATTTTTTTCTCTCTCCAGGCTGATTATGGAGCTTCTATCTCCTAGCAAGCTGAAGTTGTCAAATTACACATTACTGAATTCTCTACCTTATTCTATATGATTTGCTGGATTAAGCATCTATTTAGAGTAATATTTATGCAAGTTGGGTTAACTATGGATTCAGTAAGTATACCTATTATTACAGTGATATATTTACAAAAACTGAAAGTCTGAATAATGTATAAGGAATGACATGCATAAATGACAATAACATTAAAAGGACATGAACACACAGTATAATATTTAAATATAACTGAATTTTGGAATATGTGTGCCTAAAGTTCTCTGGATTGTATTTGAGGAATAGTTCATTACATTATAAAATATAATAAAAATAATTTTGTTGGTTAGGAGAGAGATTGATTATGAGCCCATTCAAATTTTGTTGCATAATATTGTGCCACTTTATCAAATTTATATAACTGCCCACGTCACTTGCATGACACTGGGAACAATAAAATAAATCTTAAATTTTAAATCTGTTTTCTGGCTTACAATGCAACTTGATGAATGTTTATACAAAAATAAAGTAAAACTTCAGAGTAAAGTAATATTGACACAGATTTTTTTTTATTTTCAGTTGCTTTGGTCAAATAAAACTTATGGCCCAAACAGAAGTATTGTAAGAAAAATTGGCTCCAACCTTTCTCTGATACAATGTCCAAGGGTTCAGTTTCAGGTAAGATATTTATTTGTTTGCTTTGATTTACAAAAACTAGTAAGACCTAAAAATCTGGGTTTGTGGTATTTTAAATTTGGAACTAAAAATAGGGATACCCCAAATTAAATTATTTCCTTAGGCAAAAAAGTAGTTATATTAATTTTAAAACTTAAAATTAAATTAAATGAAAATGACATGGATTGATAAATTGGATGTACTGTTCCTGAAAGTCTTCGTTGATGAGAGTCTAAAATAATTCAAATATCTAATGAAACTATAACAAAAGTTCCTCAGAGGCGCATACACAGTTCCTTAAACATACACATCCCAGAGATTTCCTAAAGTTGTTGCTGAATTCTAATTTCTTTATATGATAGAAACAGGTGTGACTTTATTATATAACTAGATAATTATTAAATTTTATTTTAAATGTAACTGAACTCAAATATTATACCTGGCCTCACTTATTAGTTTTTGAAGTGCAACTGATGTATCCTGAATTACAAAAGAAAACTCTCATCTGTGCGTAGCCACCTTCCCATAAAGCCAACAAAACTGGAGTATGAAGCTTTCCAGAGATAAACTATGAAATTGATTTGCAAGTTTCACTGAACACTTCTTAAAACTGCTTTCATGTGATACTTTAATGTAATACTTTAAACTTTCCCTTCTGAGGAGACCATTAACTTGACTGATTTGGCATGCTATTATTTCTTTAAAACTTTCCTGAATCGGTGAGTTGTTCTTTAAACTTGAATCTTCAGAGTAAAATATACTTTACAAAATATTTATTCTGCAAGATATTGCCACTTAAAGCTTCAGTGGCATCAATCTGGAGAGAAGAAAATATCAACCTAAAAAATCCATATGAGCTCATTTGATAATTGTAGAGTTTTTTGATACAATGCTTATTTTGAAATAGTAGGCAAAGTTATAGGATATATTTTTATACAATAAAGCTTACAAAGTAAGTCAAAGAAAAAACTGTACATAGGCAAATAGTGTATGTCTCTCATTTTGAGATGGAGGTTGCCTCAGGATTCTTCCTGTAGTAGAATATTCGAGCCTAACTTTAACTTTAAGATAATTGGTATAGAATAGCATGGTCTCATTGCAATTTTTGCACCTAGTGGTTTGTTCTAAATTGCTGTAAATTATTGTAGAAACAGGACTCCTTTTGATTACAGCTTAAGGAATTACATCTGTGAATGTTATTTTTTCTCTCTTATGGATTAAGTAAATGGCAATTAGATGTTTTTCTCCACTTAATATGTACTTGGACATTTTTCACTATACTCTGGGATTCCTATTTATACTTTTGCCAAAAAACTGGTGGAAATGTGCAAGAAAATTGCATAGCCAGAAAATTGTAAAAATGATAATTGGGTATATGGTACTGCTGATGCACACACATTTGCATCAAGAAGGAACAAAACTTATGTAGGAGGAATGTCAATATATAAACAGTAGGTGAAAAAAATGGTAGTATTTTTTATTTAAAAAATAGTCCCTTCAAAATAAGAATTTTGTAAAATTATTTTGTAATTATGTTGAAAATGGCAAACTATGAATATCATTGATCATGCAAAGGTCAAATTCAGCATATTTTTAATTTTAGGTTTATTTTCTGATGATAGTGCCATGTATTTTAAATAGAATTTCCTTTTCAGTACTAAGTAATGAGTTCTGAAAAAACTTCAGTAATTGTGATTTATAGTAAAACTAATCTGTTATATTTGAAAGTTGGAGGGAGAACATATTTTTAAGAAGACTGGTCATGATTTATTTATTTCTATTGCACTTAAATGTCAATAACATTGAACTTTATAGAAATTTTAACAGTTTTTGAGTAGAAAAGGCATTTAAGGATAAAACACATTTACATATAACAAATTCAGCAGGTTAGAAATATTTTGTATGATATGTGAGTATCATCATGTCCTTTTTTTCTTGGGTAAAATATTGGATATTTCTTTCTTTATTATTTGCCTATAGCTATATTTATTTCATGATATTACTGGTCTAAGCTGTCAGTGACTTCTGAATATTTTCAATAAATCCTGACCAGAAATTGATTCAAAAATATTGCTTATGGAGTAAAAGAATAAGAAATAACATCTTCTATCTTAATCAATACTTTTCTCTGGAAAGCCTCCACCAATTCATTCTCCAAAGAGAAATGCCAATGTTAAGAGATCCTCACACTATTATTTTATATGCTTTAACTATCTGAAGGTCAATATAATGTTCACTTGCAGCAGCAAAAGGCAGATTCAATTGTTTACAAAGCTATAATGCAGGGATAGAGAAGAGAGTTTAATGGTGGGCACAAATTCAGTTTAAAATCAAGCCCAAGAGAATAGAAAAATACAAATGTGTTCTTGAGTTGTCGCATGCCTGATATTTAAAATAGTTGTTAGGCCAAAAAAGTTCTCTGTAGCCATGTCCGTTGCTGAAAAGTACTATAATTTTCTGAATAATGGCAGAATAAACTCTGCTGTTGTTGTTTTAAGTAAACCTAATATCACAGCTGTCTTCATGCTTTCTTGAAACTTTTCTATAGCATTCTCTCTTTCCCTTTTTCTTCCTTTCTTGCTCTCTAGCTGTTATATCACAGGATCGTGCACTGAGCCTACTGTAAGTCAGTCTTCTCTTTTTTCACTAAAGTTCACTCTAACTATTGGTATTTACTTAACATATTAATCTGCTTGTTAAGAATCTTAACCTATATTCCTTATTTTCTTGTGCACGAGAACGAGCTATAGGTCTTTAATGACAGTGAGAGTTTTGTCATTTTTGGAAGCTTAACAGCAAAATATTGCTGAAAAATTAAACTTTTCTTCAATATATGCTTTGGGTTTCTACTTTAATAGGGTATATGAGACTTAATTAGTACTGATACAATTAGCCAGATATTTTAAGTGTGGATGGGAAATTTATATACTTATTTTGTTGCCCAAGTTTTATCTTTTCACAATGCTTGGGTTTAGTTCCCTATCTAGTTTAAGGTCTGACAAAAGGCAAATTTGAGTTTGGCATGTCTCCGAAAAAGCAGGTGAAGTCTGATGTAATAAACAAGCCAAAAGTTCTAATCTACTTGCAATACTTGCATTTATAAAAGTTCTAGTTTCACATGACCATGAAATGATCTCTGAATAAAGCATCGAACTATTAAAAGACATGGTGATATGCTTTTCTTCCTTTTTGGAAATTATGTCACTATGATCCAATATTGGCCAGAGTAGTCACAGTGACAATATTCTTGTTAACACTGTAGAATAGCAAATATAGGCTTGATTTTCGATAGATATAACCTTAACAATATTGAGAATTTTAACTTCAGCCATTTCTAGAAAGTAGTTCTTTTTGATGCCTCCTTAGCTGGGCTGGCAAATCTGGAAACAAGTATAGTAAAATAACTTACAAACACATTCGTGTAAGATTTGGAGTTTCTTTTTCTGAAACTAATTTCTGTCTTTCATTTCTCATCCAAATAAAATGCAATATGTATAAGAAATACTTTGAAATTTATCAATTATTCACCTATATAACTTTATTAGTATATGTAAATTTCATAACCTGCAGCTAGATATTTGCTATGTAGTTCCCAATTTGTATGTCATGCCATGCATTAGGAAACAATAGTAGAAATGCTAATACTGTAGTACATTCCTTAGATTGGATTCATACTAAGTTTGAAATTTTGCTCAAATGGACAAAAAAAAAACCCTGGTGTTTTAACTCTGGTATAAACTTGTTCTCCCATTTATTCATAATCGCTCTTTGTATTTTATCTTCGTGTTACCTTTATAGTTATGTCATACTGATCCAGGCTCTAATATATAATATTATCCAATCAATCTAGCTTACTTCTCAGCCTGCAGAAAGCACTCAATCTAACCAACTAAAAGAAGATGTGGTAGTCTCCCTTGTAGATGTAGGGTGGGTTGCTGAAGAAGATGACGAAGGAGACAAAGTCTTTACACGGTTCCGGTATGTTTCTCAAAGCTTATCCTCTATAACTGGTTCTTTAAGGTTTGGTAGATAACCTGTGGAACTAGGCCACTAACCAACTTCTATGAGGTTACAGTTTGACAATCACGTTTTCTAATAACATGAAAACTGGCCAATATTATTGATCAAGGAAGAAAATCTTAACAAGCTTTAGGGATTCTTTTAAAAATGTAATAAATATGTTTTATTATCTAGCCTTTCTATTTATGCAATAACTTCATGTTTATATAAGCATATATTTTTATAGTATGTTCCTATTTTAGTACCAAAATATCTGGGTAGTAGACAACAAAGAGATGTCCAGTATTATTTTAGCCAGAATGAGTTATGAGAAAGAATGACAATACTATTTGCAACTCTAGGAAAGGAAAGTCTATTATAAAGAAATAGATTACAGGTAGTTGTCGACTTACAACCCAGAATTAAGCCCAAAATTTCTGATGCTAAGCAAGGCAGTTAAGTGAATCAGTTGTTAAGCAGATAACTAGTTGTTAAATGAATCATGTTATTAAGTGAATCCGGCTTCCCTATTAAGTTTGCTTGTCAGAAACTCCTTAGAAAGGCTGCAAATGACAATCCCAGGATCCCCGGATGCTGCAACCATTGTGAAGGCATGCCAGTTGCCAAGCAGCCAAAGCTTGGTCTCATGACATAGGGATATTGCAATGGTCATAAATGTGAGAATTGGTCATAAGTACTTTTTCAGTGCCGTTATAACTTTGAATATCATTAAACAAATGATTGTAAATGGAAGACTTCAAGTATCTAGATTCTTTCCACTTCTTTTCAACTGGTTTTGTCATAATGATGATCTTTGTTGCCTTTATTACATGTAAAAGGATGGGGAAGAATATTCTATTGATACTCCAGTATTGACAACATGTGAATTTATGTATTGGCTAGATTTGTAATAATCTGGCTGTATCCAGAGAAGTTCGTAACTAATTTTAAAAAATAACAAAGCAAAAGAAATATGAAAATGAAAGCACTGATAAAATACTATTTGGTTTCTTCTTAGTTACTGTGAAGTAGGCTTGTGTAAGGTAATGTACAATGAAAGTCCTTGAAAAGAAGAAAAAAAACCTTCTCTGTCAGCAGTTGTAGTACAAAAGGAAAAGTGTTTACACAGGATCTTTAGGGGCTTTAGCAGTTGCTGAAGTTATGAAAGTAGAAGAAACCAGAGAATAGTCAGCAAAGCAAAATTATAAAAAAAGTATTATGACATTTTAAGCATCTGAGTACAACTTTTAAATCTTACATAGACCAAAGAAATTATAATACAATTTAGACATTAAAAGAAAAGCTGTTAAAATGTTATTAATATCTGTATAGATGAATTTTTCTGCACTGTTTGCAGATACAGTAATTGAAAAACTGTGGTTGTATTTAATTTCTAAACCATCTGTTCATGGAAGCATTTTATTGTTAAAATACAATTTATATTTTTTAAATGCTATTTGATTTCTAACTTATCTGTGCTGAAGGAACAAGGAACAAAAACGAACCCTTTGTCTTCACTTTCTTTCAAACAGAACATAATATAGTTTAATGATGTTTACAGGAACTTCCTAAACACTGTTCTAGATTATATGCAAACATGGCAAAGACAGCATTCTGCATTTGCAGAGAATAAGTTGTTTAGTTTAAGAAACAGAACTTTAACTTGACTACCTTTGATCAAGATACTACATGATGAAAAAGACTGAAACTATTTTTTTAAATTGTAGATCAGAAGGCTGGTCAAAATCCCAACCATTCCTTAAAAGTGAAGGCTCCTCAAGAAGAGATTCAAGTACTGAAGAATTGTTGCCCAAGAAATCACAAGAAATGGAAGAGTCTAAAACTCCAGTAGCCAAAAATGATGAAGCATTGCAGAAAATAAATGCACTGGAAAATGAGCTTGCTAATTTAAGAGCACAAATAGCCAAAATTGTAAGCCTGCAAGAACAAAATTTGGCAGCAGGTATTAAGTTGTCCTTTCCTCAATGTTAGTAAGTTTAAAGTGTCATGCCTATAGTCAAAAAATACTAGATTCAGATGCAAATAACCTTGATATATAAATTATAACATTTAGAAAATTAGTTGTAGTAGTTTTTCTTTTTATCTTGACATGAAAGATCTGGAATGGCATCCTTCTCTATTGGTCCCCCTCTGCACATATGATCTTGAGCCTGCCTTCCATAACCTGTTGCTTTCCTTTGTGGTAGATGATAGCACCCATGATTCTAAGCCAGCATGTTTTGCTTAATGCATGTGATGAAAAGTGTAATCTGATGCACTTGAAAGAGTAATAGTAGTAATACTAGTAATAGATTGGACAAAGTTGCAATAGACTCTTGTAGAAATTTGAGTCAAAATGATCTTGGGATTTGTATTACAAACTTTTGCTAATCGTAAAGATTTTGATTGGAAGTTCTTAAAATGAGACTTATTGTCTGACTGTTCTTATAAAGTATCTAAAAACAACTTTATCAAAGGTTCAGTTGATACACATGTGATGATTAATTTTTTGCCTGTGTTTCCAATTTTCCTTTTACCCAACAATGTAGTGCATTTTCCTGGGAAATACCGTGTTTCTCACATAATAAGGCCGGGCCTTATTTTTTTTTTTGAGCCCCGAAAAAACGGCTAGGCCGTCTTTTCGGGGGTAACTTAATTTCCCCCCTTTCATCCTCATCTAGAGTGCCCTGCGGGCAGCCTCGCCACCAGCCGCTCCTAACGGGCGATCATGGCGAAGCGCAGAGAGCTCCCTACTCCCACCAAACACCTTTGCTGCAGACCCAAGACCTTTGGCACCTGCCGCTGTTGCTTTCCCTTCTGCCCATTCCGCTGCCGTTTGGAGTGCCGTTGGAGCTGCTGCCGCCGTTTGGAGCTGCCT